GCGTCCGAGGCGCAACCTTTGCCCTCGGGCAGCTGGGATGCACACACACACACACTCCTGAAAGGTCTGGCCTATCAGCGTCCCGAAGCGCTCGTGGCTAATCAGCTTCCTAAGCGCTCTGCGGTCCTCAGTCAATTCCTGCACTGACAAGCACGTAGAAATCTGCCCTAAGCGGGACGCGCGCTCACCCGCCCTCACGGCTGAACGCCAGCCGGACCGAGTAGCAACTTCCTTCTACCTCTTCTGTACACAATATATTGAGCCATTTTTTGCTGAAAGTTTGGTATTACCATCAAAATAAAGTTCTCATCATCATCATCATCATCATCATCATCATCATCATCATCATCATCATCCTTTCATCATCATCATCATCATCATCATCATCATCATCATCATCATCATCATCATCATCATCACCATCATCAACATCATCATCATCATCATCATCATCATCATCATCATCATCGGTCCTTCCTACCTTTTCCTTCTCGCATGCATCAGTGAACTGTCTGACCTAGTACATCATCATCATCATCATATTATTATTATTATTATTATTATTATTATTATTATGTCCTCCTCATCATCATCATCATCATCATCATCATACTCATCATCATTATCATCACTCCGGCCTTCCCAAGACTTCTCCCATCTCCCAAGAACTCGGGCCTGGAAGATCGTAGCTGTTGGGGTTAACCGTCTTAGCCATAACACCTGGAAGTCCATTAATTATCAGGCTGCTAGTGCTCAATTGGAGGAAGACACCCATGGGGTATACACTCTTACTACATTGGCAGAACTAGAATCATAACATGAAGCACAGAAGAATAATTAAGGGCATCGATACTATTCGCGTTTTAAAATGACAAAGCCGTTTCCGTAGAGAATTTTATAGTTTTCCAGCTAGCGCGGTGAAATAACTCCAGACTTACGTAAACTAATAGACCCACATGTTATGATGGCGATATTTGTATAGAGTCCGTTACTAACAACCACGACACAAGAAAGGCGAATGCAATCGAGGACAAAAACTAAAAGACAACAATGGAACCAGCTTACTTCTCCTCGCAGCTTTATCCTTTGGTCTGACCACTCATCAGACCACGGTGTTTAAAGCTGCAACACAGTCTGACCTAGGCGTGCACATATTTCTGTATTTTCGAAATAAC